TCAACATTTTTTTTTACTAAAATTACCCTTCTTTTTTTATTAAGTTAAGTGTGTATTAACTGCTGCCAGCTAACCAAATGTGGTCTAATTGGTTTTTTCACTGATACGAGAGTGAAATATCTTGAACTCGAGTCGTTTCAACTGCAACTTAATATTCCAAGTTTTCACTAATTTGATGAGTTAACGAAAGACTATTCATTATATTATTTTAATCTATTGGATCTCCCGATAAAATAAAAAAAATTATTTAGATCATTTTGGTTTAAAAGTAAGTCCAATTGATTATGAACTCAAATTATTAATTCAACTTAATTAGTTGCTTTATAATTATATATCTAAATTTATTATAATATTTCGGAGACCAAATGTAGAATTCATATCTAATATATTTAAAATAAAAATTTAAAATTTGAAGAAGTCAATCGTCCTTATTAGTTTATTATGTCCGTCGATGATAACAACACTATAGAAGATAAGGGGTCAGTTGCTTTTGCTGCTCCTTTTAATTTCAAAATCCCATTTATTCTCTTTATAATTTGGAAAATATCAACATTAACATTAATTTGTAGATTAAAAGTTAAATTGACCTTGAACTTATTAAGTTAAATTGAACTTGATACAAATAAAATTAAAATATCAACCTTTAATCTTTCAAGAAAACTCTATTTAATCAAATATTTGATTAATTTCAATAATTTAATATGAATTATTTAATTTTAATAGATATTAACATAAGGGTATATTAATAAAAATAAATCAAAAATTATAATTTAACTATATTAATTAAAATTTTTAAACATATATGCATGTCAAATTAAGATAAAAATTATGTACCCAAGGGTTTTGGAAATTATTATTTTTTTCCTAATTAGTATAAGAATAATATATTTTATTTCTAAATTTGAGTAGGACACATTTGGCATTCAATTTTCGAATCATTATACTTTTTATTAAGGCAATACTTTGAAGTTTGAGCTGTCAATTACCCTTTTGAGTTTAAAGAGGTGTAAGTGTATTTTTATGCAAATGCAAATGTGATTGTCACATTTGCTTTTTATGGATGCAAAAAAACTTTTATAAAGCTAGAGTTGCATCAAAATATAGTGAAGTGATTCCATTTTATTAACAGAAGTTTATGCTTCCCATTTAATATTGTTGGAAAGATAGGTTTTCACATGTATTTAAACTATTAAAAGGAAAACTTGAATCCAATTTTTTCTTTTTCTTTTTTTATCAAACACGTTTATATAGATAAATTCTAAAGTTGCAGTGCATTTCCCATAATTCAATCGTGTATTGATAACACAAATTTAAATTTTCAATAAAAAAAAATATAAGTTTGGATATTTGATAATTAATCAAAATGCATAAGAAATAAGATAGAAATTGAGATAACAACTAGTATCAACTTTTGTAATTTTGTTTTTAGGTATAAACAAGGAGTTGTAATCTTCATTATTTAAACAGTAGCGCGTAAAGGTTTTGATCCATTAAAATACGCTTTCAGGAATTAAACTTGTGTTTTCACTCTTATGAAAATTGAGGTCAGTTTATTACTCTAACTAATACTTTGTTGGTTTAAAATTTGCAATTCTAGTGATGTATTTGAGAGATAAAATCCATTAATAATGTTATTTTATCAATAAAATCTTGCTTAATAGAAGCTTAAAATATTAAAAAGTAAATTTACAAAGTTATTCATTGAAAGATTTGATAGAATATAATTCTAAAGTTTATGGACTAAATTAAAAATGTAATTTCAAAAAATATACACTTATCTTAAATAAAAAAATGCTCCTAAATTATTAGGGCATGTTTGGCAAGATTAGCTGTTTTAGTAACTATTGGACTTTTGATATTTCACTCCAAACTCTAAATACTAATATAAATGCTTTGCTACTCAATATTATAAATAATAAAAGGTAATGGTTTGACTTAATTAAAATATTAAAACTACATGAAAAGTTATTGCCAAACAAAACTATAATGTCTTTTTCAAAATATGCATTAATTTTAGCACTTAAGTAAAGTTAGTAACCAAAATATAATTAAATTGAAAATTATATTTTCATTTTCATTTTCATAATACAGTTACGTAGATAACTATAATTTACCAATTAGGTGTAGTATAGTTATTCTTTTCACTTATGTGGAAAGTGAGATGTCAGATTTGAGATCTCTCGACCACAAGAGTTTTCAATAATTTGGTGAATAAAGAATAAAGTTACCTCTAGTTGTATGATCCATAATATTCTTTCGGTCCATTGAGCTTCTAAGGAATAAAATCCGGAAGAAAATTGGATTTTATTCTTGCAAACCACTTTGGCAGCACATTAAGGATTTAATTAAACAATCAATCTGAAAGTTGAAAAAAAAATAATAAAGTGTTATTTTATACTGTATTTATTTTAGGAAAATAAATTAAATCAAAAATATTTTCTGAATTTCTTTGGGTTTTGTGTTCTTAGTAAAATCATTTAATAAAAAAAATATTTTTTCTAAAATATAAAATTTAAGAAAAAACTAAATGATGTTAAAGAAGTTTTTAAATATTGAGAAATTTATTATATCCTTATAAAATATATTTATTAATCAACCGATTTTCGATAATCACCGTTATCAGTCATTTTAAATTAATAATCTTTTGAATTTTATTATCAATCAATGTTGTTGAAAAATAATCTTCTAAAAAATATTAATACATTAATCTTTTGAATTTTAATATTAATAAATTAATCTGCACAACAATATTTATTAATATTAGTCTTTATTATGTTTATAAATTTTATTAATAAATTCAATTAATTTATTTTTATTAATATCTTTTCTATTTTTTTATTAACCAATGCTGTTTATAAGTAATATTTATGGATATATCATATCAAGATGGGAATCCATAAATAATTTTTTTTTTGTCTATTTCTAAAACTATCCATACACTAAATTAATAATTAAATATTATATTAAAAATCATTGAACACTTTGTTTCACCCTAAACTTTGTATTATATTGCAATTTCATTCTATTTTGATCTTAATATTAATTTCACCATAAACTTTAATCTTCTGTTACAATAGCATTGTAAATCGCAATTAGAACTTAAAAAAAAATTGCAAATAAAAAGTATATTAATGTTGAATCACTTTTAGCTTTGGGTTAACTTTATCTGAAGCTTTATTACTCATATAAATTTATTAAGTTTAACTATTGTCTTGTATAAATATATATTTTCTTTCATGCTATAATTATCAATTATAATTATATCTTATATTCTATTTTGATAAAAAATCATTTATAATTTCTAATAGTTTACGAGTTAAATAATTTCATAGTAGCTTTGATTTTTAGATTTTATAATTATTTCAAAATTTACATTAAAAATCAAAAAATAATAATAATTAGTTTATTATTTAAGAAGTGCTCTAATGTTTTTAACAAAGACATTCTTGTATCAAATAATGCATTTTTATCTATTACTTATTAATGATTAAATAAATAATTTAAAAAATAATAAATATTTTTTTACTATTGCTTAAACTCTGTCACTTATATAAATGTATTAAGTTAACCTGAATTTAAAGTTAATAGTGAACCCCGTAGTAATGTATTTTTTGTTTGCAATTTAAGTTCTAATCGTATTTAATGTGCTATTGCAATAAAAAGTTAAAGTTCAGAGTAAAATTGGCATAAAAGTCAAATTACGGTGGAAATGCAGCAAAATACAAAGTCTAGGGTGGAATAATGAATTAAGTCAAAAGTCATTTGTTTTTATTATTATTTTAATCATTTTTTAAAATATTTTTTATACCAAATATATTTATTACCAACGAGTTGGTAAATTTTTTTCCGGTAAATAAAAGAGAAGCTAGGACCTCCTTTTTTTTTTTTTTTTTTTTTTTTTTTTTTTATTGGCCATAAAAGTCAAAATTAACGGTGGAAATGCAGCAAAATACAAAGTCTAGGGTGGAAATACCAAATGAGGAATATGAAAGATGAAAAGTTCATTCATAGAGATTTCTCTCACTTGATTAATGATATATGCAAATTACGATATTCTGTTTGTTGTTCACAACAGTATAGTTATGTGATACACCAGGAATGCATTATGTTATATTGAGACTGATACTCAGCTGATTGCTGGGATAACACCTCTCTATGGTATGTACGGTATTAAAATAAGAGAAGCTTAGGTATCACCTTCCTTGTTGTATTATTTTTAATATATGTGTTTTTTTAATTATCCTTTGTTATTTTCAAATTAATAATACTTTATTTGTTATTCAATGCACCGGACCGAAAAATGCACCATTTGATTGTATAAGTTATTTAATTATCCTATTTATGAGGCATTTCTTAAAGGAAGAGGAATGAGCCCTATCGAGAATATTACCCTTGAAGAACAACTTAAGATTATCTCCAGTATAGGACAGAATAAATCAAACCCTCACCAGCACACAGTAGTTTCCTGACATACACACTAATATTGATTAAATTGTGAAACAAAGCGCTCACTATCCCTAAGAATCAGACGTTGACGTAGAGTTTTGATTGACCCTGAATATAGGTGCATAATAATTTGCAGAGATCTGAGGCCAAAGTCAGAGGAAGGCCAATCAAGGGGCCAAACCCCAATCCCCTTTTTTTTTTTTTTTTTTAAATTTTTTTATTATTTTTTATTTTTATAATTTAGGAGAGGACTTCGATTTTACCCTTCATAAACTAAAATCCCACATGTTCCACACAATTGATAAATGGACCCACCTAGAATCAAGACTTACTGTTGTTGATGATATCAATTTGTCAGAATCTGAGACATCAGATGAGGCAATGCAAGGGGCCAAACCCAATCCCATCTGCCGACGTGGACATCTCTCAACAATAAATGAATAAATAAATATTAAGTTGAAATCTATTGCTACTTAATCGTTAATTAAATATCAAACAAGATTTGCAAACACTAACTTTTTATAAATTAAAATGCTTATACTGTTAGCAGACACAGTAAAAGATTTTAGAGAGACAGAGAATCATTCTTTGCTTAAACTTACAGGACTGTTATGAGCTTTATTGCTCTTCTGGGTAAGTGGAGGTGTTTCTGTTCTGTGCTTAAAGCTTATATATTTCGGTCTCAAAACTGTGCACAGCACTTGTTCTCATGCTTGGCAATCAGGGTAAGCTTCACTGCGACAAAATTAGGCTTGCCTGTACATTTCTTTCTTTCTTTCTCCTTCTGTGTTGGTTCTTGGTCCATTTGTTTTATACTTGCATGTCAGCGTGTGGGTTTCTTTTATCTACTCAAAATACTTGTCTTTCCAACATGTTATTATAATTTAATCTTTTTTATTTAGTGGGTTATCATTATTCAAGCATGTGAAATTAAAATATAGCTGCTGCTCTTTTGATTCCCTTTGTCATTTCTATGGTTTTGATACTGGAAATTTAGTTGGTATATTCTGAATTTTAGTTGTTCTAATTTTTTAATTGTAATCTGTTCTTGATTCCTTAACTCTAGGTGCTTACATTTAACAAATAAAATTTTGCTTTTTGATTCCTTTACTTTTTATGTTGTGATTTTTATACTAGTTGGTATTCTGTAGATTTTATTTGTCCTAATTTAGTTTATAATTTGTTTTTTATCATATATTTATATGATTGATTGATTGGCAGGTGCTTACGTTTAACAAAATGCTGCTGTGAGTTGCGGAATCAATTGCTTGATTGCAAGCTTTTGTAGACATGGATGTATTCTTGATCACTGGGTTTGGCCATAGACTGATCATGGCAAGAATACGATCATTATTAATTTTTAGCATTCTTTGTGTGCCCATGGAAGCCATGGGTCAGGCAGGAAATGCCAATAGTTCTTCAAAAATACTGACACCGAGTGTTGTGAATATAGGAGCTTTATTTACTTTGGATTCTGTAATTGGAAAAGCAGCTAAGCCGGCAATTGTGGCTGCAGTTGATGATGTAAATGCAGATTCCAGTATTCTCCCAGGGACAAAATTGAACCTCATACTACATGACACGAATTGCAGTGGATTTGCTGGAACTATGGAAGGTATTTTCATTACACACAGATTACATTTCAATTTATTTTGAAACTGATCTATTTGTTTTAGGCATTAGAAAATTGACATTTTATTCTTTTGACCATTGACTGTTCTTTTTTGCATTTGGGATTTTATTTTATCTTGTGTTTCAAATCCTCATATTCCTGTTTTAATCATGGTCTCTATCTTTATTCCCTCTTGTCAATTATGTCCCAATTCTCTTTACACCTGCTACTACATGTACTTGCCAAGTGTTTCCTTGAACTATAAAATTGGTGGCTTGCTGTGCATTTGCTTACACAGTGTGTTCACTATTAAGGTTTACATCATTTAAAGGATTAACAAATTTCTGATTACAAATTTGGATTAGAGTATTATTCTGTGTTAGAGTATTAGTTTGGTTCATATAGTTCTCCTAGCTTGAATACAGTGTCTATTTTCTATGCCTGCCAAAATGTCTTATTCTTCTGATATTAAAGTTATGAAATTGTTTTAATTTGAAAATGAAGAACACTAAATGTGAATCTGTAACTGATCGCAGAATATTGTGCTATTAAATTTAGGAGCTAGAACTATTCAGGTATACCTAGGCTAAATGTTATCTAGGTGTCTGTGTTCAATATAAAGATTTTGATGGAAGTGCCTTTTCCATGTAGCTTTGCAGCTGGTGGAGGATGATGTGGTTGCTGCAATTGGCCCTCAGTCATCTGGAATAGCTCATATCATTGCTCATGTTGTTAATGAACTTCATGTGCCGCTTTTATCATTTGGAGCAACGGACCCCACTCTTTCTGCACTACAGTATCCATATTTCCTCCGCACTACACAGAATGACTATTTCCAAATGTTTGCAATTGCTGATCTTGTTACATACTTTGGATGGAGAGAGGTAATTGCCATCTTTGTAGATGATGATTATGGAAGAAATGGTATAACTATATTGGGAGATGCCCTGGCAAAGAAGCGTTGCAAGATATCTTACAAGGCTGCCTTTACCCCTGGAGCACCCAAGAGTGCAATAAATGACTTATTAGTCGGAATAAACCTGATGGAATCTCGGGTATATGTTGTGCATGTGAGTCCTGATTCTGGTATGCAAGTTTTTTCTGTTGCTCAGAGTCTTGGTATGACAGGCAAAGGCTATGTTTGGATTGCTACAGATTGGCTTCCTACTCTTTTAGATTCAGTAGAACCAGCTGGCATTGACACAATGAATCTCTTACAAGGAGTTGTTGCTCTTCGTCATCACACACCAGATAGTGATATGAAAAAGAAGTTTTTGTCCAGGTGGAATAACCTTAAGTATAAGGAGAAAATGGGATCTGCTGGTTTCAATTCTTATGCACTATTTGCTTATGACTCAGTATGGTTAGCAGCTCGAGCTCTTGATGCCTTTTTCAGCCAAGGGGGAAGTGTATCTTTCTCTAATGACCCGAATCTGCATGAAAAAAGTGGAAGTAGGTTGAACTTGTCAGCACTTCGTGTTTTCAATGAAGGCCAACAGTATCTCCAGACACTTCTCAAGATGAACTTCACCGGCATCAGTGGTCAAATTCAATTTGATCCAGATAAAAATTTGATTCATCCAGCATACGATGTTCTTAATATTGCTGGGACGGGATTGCGTACAGTTGGTTATTGGTCAAATTATTCTGGTCTTTCCATTGTTTCTCCAGAGACCTTGTATAAGAAGCCTCCCAATACATCTATCAGCAACCAACATCTTTACACCATCATATGGCCAGGTGAAACTAAAGACACTCCTCAAGGATGGGTGTTTCCCAACAATGGGAAGCCTTTGCGTATTGCAGTACCCAACCGAGTAGCTTATCAAGAATTTGTGGCTAAAGACAAAAACCCTCCTGGGGTTCGAGGATATTGTATTGATGTTTTTGAAGCTGCAATAAAGCTGTTGCCATATCCTGTCCCACGTACATATATGTTATATGGAAATGGCGAGAGAAACCCTGACTACAATGGCCTTGTCAATGCAGTTGCTCAAAATGTGAGTATCTGGTTTCAATTTGGAAGTTTAATTTGTTTAGGTGTTCAGATGCCTGATTTGGCATTCACATTCAAGTAGTATATCTTAATTTGTTGTCTTTCTTTTTCAGACTTATGATGCAGCTGTAGGTGATGTTACTATAACTACAAATAGAACAAAAATTGTGGATTTTACACAGCCATACATGGAATCAGGATTAGTTGTAGTTGCTCCTGTCAAAGAAGAAAAGTCTAGCCCTTGGGCTTTCCTTAAGCCATTTACAGTGCAGATGTGGTGTGTCACTGGTGCCTTCTTTCTGTTGGTTGGTGCTGTTGTCTGGATTCTTGAGCATCGGATCAATCATGAATTCCGTGGTCCACCAAGGCAACAACTTATAACGATATTCTGGTAAGCTGTTGAAATTTCTTGTAGTGTAATAAAGATCTCATTTATCAGTGGCTGATAATTTTAGTGCACCTAGCTATTGCATTACTGCCTCAATCCTGGGTAACACATGAGGCTTAACAAATAGTTAAAGAATACATGGAGAAAATCATTGACATAAATTACACTCATCTCATCACTATCAGATATCAGCATTGTAGTTGATAATGGTGGAAGGAGGCTTGTGCTTATGTATACTTCTAACCAAGTTAGCTTTCACAGAGGGGTGTGCATCATTGATAGTTAGATATATTAAAATGCATGCTTGGACCCTCGAATAAAAGCCTGAACTTTTAAGTTGAGCAGTTTTTTTTTGATAAATTTATAATTCTATTATCACCATCTGAAGCATTTGTTGAAGTGCCTCCTCCCTAGCAATGTACTCGCCTTTTGTGCTCTTATTTTATAAATGTTAGCGTGCTACTAATTGGCAGTAGTTCTAATCTTGCAGGTTTAGTTTCTCAACAATGTTCTTCTCCCACAGTACGTGAATTGTTATTAATTTATTATGCTAACTTTACTTCATCATTACATATTTCTAGTAGAAACTTTTACCCCTCTGCTACACTTCATAATGTAGGAGAGAACACCGTTAGCACCTTGGGACGTTCGGTGCTGATCATATGGTTATTTGTTGTGTTGATTATCAATTCAAGCTATACAGCCAGTTTGACATCAATCCTCACAGTTCAGCAGTTAACTTCACGGATTGAAGGTATTGACAGCTTAATCTCAAGTACTGAACCAATTGGAATACAAGATGGGTCATTTGCATGGAACTACCTGGTTGATGAGCTCAATATAGCAGAATCTAGGCTTGTTAAATTGAAAAATCAAGATGAATACTTTATTGCCCTACAACGTGGGCCAAAAGGTGGTGGGGTGGCTGCCATTGTTGATGAGCTTCCTTACATTGAGGTCTTCTTGAGCAACACCAATTGTGTATTCAGGACAGTGGGGCAGGAGTTCACAAAAAGCGGGTGGGGATTTGTGAGTATCAATTTCTGATTTGTCAACTCTAAGCCTGACCAAGTTATTTTTGCTCAATTTCTGGTGATTTCTACCAGCTAGGATTACCTCATTATGCATCATTGACATGGAAGTGGCATTCAAAATGGAACGAACTTGATATTTTTGCTAAAATCTAATTACAAGAAAAAAGTATTAGATCACTGTGATTTCCGTGGATATAACAATGAAATTGTGTGTGTGTCCATATATATATATAATATATTATATATATAATATTATATTCATATATTCAGTTTTTTCTTTCATTTTCGAATAAAAAATTTACTTTTTAATTCGTTTTTTCTTCATTTCAAATATTTGAAAATCGGAATTTGAATGACATTCACAGCTTTATTGGTTTCACTAAAAGTTGCAGTTGTACTTGAACTTTCTCTGTCTTTAACCAAGTTGATTATTTAAGTATCATTACTTTGTTGCAATTTGATATCTAATGTCGTTCTCAAAGTCTGCTAGTTCTCACATTCATATGTTTCTTTTTCACAGGCATTTCAGAGGGACTCTCCCCTTGCGGTTGATCTATCAACTGCCATTCTCCAACTCTCTGAAAATGGTGATCTGCAAAAAATTCATAACAAATGGCTTACACGCACAGAATGCTCTATGCAAATCAGCCAAGTTGATGCAAATCGACTCTCCTTGAGCAGCTTCTGGGGGCTGTTCCTCATTTGTGGCCTTTCATGCTTCATTGCTCTTACTATGTTCTTCTGTAAGGTCCTTTGTCAGTTCCGTAAATTCACTCCGGAAGAAGGTGAAGAAGGGGAGGTGGAAGAGATTGAGCCAGCAAGGCCTAGACGCTCACTTCGTACAACTAGCTTCAAGGATATACTTGATTTTGTAGATAGGAAAGAAGTAGAGATCAAGGAAATGCTTAAGAGGAAGAGCAGCGGTAACAAGCGACAAGCTAGCCCCAGCACAGATGGACGAGCCAGTTCACCTGCCTAGGGGAAGAAATGAGGTTTTCTTTTTCCTTTCCTGTTTCCCTTTCCATTGTTGAATTTTTCTAAATGTTTCTTTCTGAAGAAATTATTGAATCCTATACCATTCCCTTCCAGTCCATACAGTAAAAAATTAGGCAAGCTAGAATGACGATGAACTGGAAAAATGTTAGTTTTAGTGCATTCTGTATCATAAAAAGATGTTTTGTATACATCTATCAATGTAAAATTTTTCCTTCTCTTTTCCATCAACAAACCAGTATTGCTTTTTAGGCTTTACAAAGTTCCGGGTTTATGAAAATAATAATGCTAGATTTAAATCAAATTACCAAAATAATGTCAAATTAAAACTATTTACAAGAATAATTTCATCCTCTTACAATATATATATATATATATATAAAGGAGAATTCATGCCGTGAGAAGACGGGTAATTTTTGATGTGTTCCTTTTTTTGAAAGCTTGAACAAGATTATGGTAGCAAGCTGACTTCTTGTTTCAGTTTAAATTAAGCTCTGTGGTAAGGTGAAATGTTAGTAAAAATTATCTTGCATTTTGTATATAAATCGAGTTGCTTGTCATAGATTTTAAAGTGAGAAAACGGAAGAGGGGGACAGGCTATGAAAATGATAAAGAAAAACAGAAAAATCTGTTCCATGCTTTGTAAATTTCTTATATCAGTAATGAAGTTATAGCATCAGTGCTTCTAAGACTTGTGTATCACTATTTTTGCCCTTTTGCCCAAACTTGGTTGAGCATTAAAATGTTGAAACTTGTTAGTCAGTTGCCAGGTCTTCAGAAAAGTATTGTAAGTGTAGAAATTAATGAATGTAATTACTTAGAGTTCCGCAATTGATTAATGAATGTAATTACTTAGAGTTCCGCAATTGAAATTTGTGGGGTTGTAACTAATAAGTGACTAGATTATTATGTGTATATATTTTATTATTTATGAATAATCCATACAAATATTAGATAGAGCCTAAAAACCTTGTGAGTTGTTATTTGATGAATGGGCATAAGGGTTAAGTATGTAAACAGATCAGTGAATCCACTTTATTAAGGCTTATTACGGGCCTTAGAGGCCTTTAAACCCACCCAGATCCTAGTACCAGTCCGGCCTATGGTGATGGGTCGTGACAAAGTTGGTATCAAAGTCGGACCTCATCTAGTAGATGTATGGTTCGAGAACAAACTATGCGGAAATTGGTGGGCCTGTGATATCCCGACTGTAGGACACAGAAATGAATCAAATCATATATCAAAGGAGGAGAACTAATTAACAGAGACGCATTTTGGTGAAATAACTTGAAGAGTTGAAAGAACTCAAAAGTTAAGCGTGTTTGCTTAACGGAAATCTTAAGATGGGTGACTATTTGAGGAATTTCCTATTTCATTTACGGGACAAAACCGTGCGGTCTTGCCAATCCAGTATGAGATGCTATTTTAATCAGAAATCTGTTACTGATACAGTGTTTGTGTTTTGTTGACGTTTCAAACGCTTTTGTCATATAATTTTTTTTTTTTTTTTTTTAACGCTTACTTAACAAATTATTTTTTTTTTTTTTTTTTTTTAACGCTAGCTTTACTAACAAATTCACGCTCTCTTCCACTTACATGTTGTGGTTATAATGTAACATGCCAGGACACTAATTTTAAGGATTGATAGTTGAGATTCAGATGCAAGAATATTTGTCAAGACAAAATATTTGTCGACTATACATTGAGCGTAACAACCTATGAAAGACAGTAAAAAAAGAATATTATAGTGTATGAGATTGGGGATCGTGAGACGAAAGCACAAATCGTGTCATTTTTAGTATAAGAATATGTTTTATTTAGACAATTTAAAACATGCATGTGAACAAAAAAGGACAAATTCTCATGCTATGCTGAGTCTACGTAGAAAAAACTTCACATATATTCATGTGGAAAATAAAACTCATATAAGTTACATATTTCGTTCATAATATTTAAGATTATATATTAAAAAACAAACTACTGCAAACTTACCAAATGACATGATTCTTCAAATGTGATCTGTCACATTTTATGTGCTGTTTGTACAAGAAAATTATAATTTATTTTTCTAAAGATAATAGGATAGAAAAAAAAAAAAAATTAACAAAGCGGAGCACCAATATAAAAGGCTTTATATAAAATAATGCTTGCAGATACTAACAGTAATAAGACCATTTTCATTCCCTTTTGGTTCAGATAAGAAAACTTGAAACAAACTGTGATTAATATGCGTTAGGGTCGTTGACTTCTGTCATGATTTATTATAAGGAAATTTATAATTATACTCCTATATTTTCTCGAAATTAATTACTTTACCCTTATAGTTTTTAACATATAATATCATTCTTAATGTTTTGTTGTCCGTTACATCCAGTACTCTTTCAGTCTGTTTTTTACATTTTTGGACATTAAATGTGAGTAAAATAATGTCTATGATCCTAATTTAAAAAATCATTTGCCTAAAATTGAAAAACTCAATTTTTACATCCATTTTTCTTTTTAATCATTGATTACAACTTATATCAAGAAATTTTCAAACCTCAAAACCTTCGAACTCTAATATCATCAATCTCTCATAAAACTAAAACAATAAAAAGAAAAAAAGATCTGGCTAAGGTCAACTCAATTCCTTTCTAATTTCTTCTTCTTCTTCTTCTTCTCCTTTCTAATTTAAAACACGATTACTTTGAAGTTACTCCATCTTTTGTTTTCCAGATCAAATCCTAATCCTTCATAGAGATTAACTCCTAACCGTTTGTGAAAGATAAGGACTGAACTTCTATATAGGGAAAAACAGAATGGCAAGGAGCCATAGCTCTTAATTTCACTTGGTTTCATAAAAAAAAGAGAGATGGGATCCTAGTCAGTCCCCAATCAATTGATTCTCAATGCTTTGATATTACTAATGAAGGAAAACAAAATACTAAAAATAGTAATTTGCTTGGGGAGTGATTGTTATTAATTTATTTTTTCCATTAAAATTACGAAATCTTCGATGAATTGGTGAAACCATTTTTTTATTAACTTCATTTTTTTTTTCACTTCTTTGACCTTTTTTTTTTAAAAAAAAAAAAAAAAAAAAAAAAAAAAAAACATTATTATACATTCTGGAAAAAAAGGATTTTAAAATTCTTTAAGTGAGCGGTTATAGATTATATATATATATTATATATATAATTATATATATATTATAATATATATATTAGGTCATTCATGCTTATATTTTATGTAATATATATTAGGTCATTCATGCTTATATTTTAATGTATAATACAATAAATATTATTTACATATAATTGGGGTGCCCTATATTTTAATATACACACGTTTGACTGATAAAAGTATTTTAGTAAATGAGTCACCAACATATTGTTAAGAGCCATGTGATACATATATTTAAAATTTCCAAGGAAACAAAAATTAGGATCACATATCTATACCAGAAAACACATGTTAAACAATAACTTGAACAAAAAAAATTTAGGAATCATGCATGAAAGGGGTATGTGCCATGTGGATATTCTTCTTCATTCTATAAAAAGCTAACAACAACACTTGATCCCACTCAACTCAATTCTTAAATATTATCAAGTACCAAACCTTTTTTTTTTTTTTTTAATCTACATCTTATTGAAAATTATTTTATTTCCTGGGATTGTTAAATATTTAGCTTTTTATATTTTTGTCATTAAGAAAAAAATAACTCTGTCTCAAAGTAATAGTTAAATTCATGCATAAGAAATTTATTATCAAAAATTAACTATAAAGTTTCTAAATTATAATTTTATTAACACTTTGGTCCTTCAGTTCAAAATAGAGAAATTAAAATATTAACGGAAAGCACAAGTTAGGGACCTCATATTTAGTTTGACTATAATTTAAAGATCAATTTCTCGGCTAATTGACAGTTGCAAAATGTTATTTTAGATGAAAAAACCAAAATATTAACAGGATCATAAATTAGAAATCTCATATTTAGTTTTTGAAAATAGAAATATTTATATATTAATTTGAATATAATTTAAAGGTGAATTTTACTTTTTTTTCTTATTAGTATAATTTTTTAGCCTATAACTCAGGTTTAGCTCAACGGACTAAGAACAACTGCTGTAAAATTAAATAAATAAAAAAAGAAATTACCTTTACCTTTACCTAGTTGATGAATCTTTTTGGTAGCTGTTGGCTTTTAACCAGGAGGTGCCTACCCACTGATCCTGTTGGTCCACCAAAGATTTAATCATGGAAATGAAAGTCTTAATTTTTTTTTTTTTTTATCAAGTTTTTCAGATCTCACCCGCTTATCATTGTGTGAAGACTCAGAGTTAAGAATTAAAGAATCAATCAGGACCAAAATATTTAATATTTTGAACTAATTAATAGTTAATTAAATACATATTAAATTTTATAACATAATTTAAAATTAATAAATTTTAGTAAAATTATATATGTGAATTGAAATAAATTAATTATTAAAAATAAAAATATTATGATAAGTGAAATTCAATACAATAATAATGTTATCAAATAATTAAAAACAAGAGACATTATATTATACTATTAAAATATGTAAACACTAATAGTTTAAGTATAATAATAATTATTTCTCTATTAATAATATAAGAGTAAATTTAATAAATTTATTTTTTAACTTTATGAAAAAGATAAGAGTCATTGAACCAATCTTTGTAGTTTAATTGGTATTATTATTTATATGAGGTGTGAGAAGTCTAAAGTTCTAGTGAGACTATACAAGTGTTCACTAATTTAATGAATCAAGGAAATGATTACCTTTTATGTAGCATGCAATATTATTTCGGTCAATTTAGCCTCCCAATAAATAAAAAAATAAAAATGAATACTGAATAAATTTATTTTTATCAATAAAAGTATTAAAATTTAATTCAAGAAATAAGATCCAATAAGTAAAAAAAAAGTTGTTGATAAAAATATATTATTTTTTTACTAGTGCAAATGTTAAAAATAACTTTATATTTTATCTTGTTTAATACGTTTGTGTTTGACAACAGCTTTTTAAGTAGCTTTTAACTTTTTGACTAGTCAAATCGCTATACGCTATTTTTTATATTGTTTGGTATCATAGCGTTTGAACTCGTTTTTAGATATTAAAATAACGTTTTATGAAAAGTTAAATCATGTAATTTTATATTGTTTGGTATTATAGCGTTTGAACTCGTTTTTAGATATTAAAATACGTTTTCTGAAATTTATGAAAAGTTAAATCATGTAACGTTTAGC